TGGGAGCTATCGGGCCCGGGCAGTTCTCTGGCTCCCCGTCACTGCCTCATGCTGGAGGTATGCCGCTGCCCCGGAACCTGGTTAAAGATGTTTTTTCCTTCAAGCCTGCTGCTTTCTGCAGCACCAGCCTTTGGGCCCACCGGGCTCACAGCTCCCTCTCTCGTGGCTGTGGAGCCATTGCAGGCACCGGCAGTGCTCTGGCTCCCCGTCACTGCCTCATGCTGGAGGTATGCCGCTGCCCCGGAACCTGGTTAAAGATGTTTTTTCCTTCAAGCCTGCTGCTTTCTGCAGCACCAGCCTTTGGGCCCACCGGGCTCACAGCTCCCTCTCTGAGGAGATGTGAGAGCAATTGCTCTTTGCAAAGGTCCCCAAAGCTGGTTGTGCTTCACTCCAGCTCTGCCGGGAGCTGCCAGGACCTCCCCACTCTGCCACATCCCAGCTCTTCCCCATGTTTGTCCAGCTCAGGATGTGGGGGCTTTGCTCCTTGGCTCCCCATGTCCTCCCTCGCTGCCACACAGGTAAGCCCAAGAGCCGGCTGGAAATGGCTCCATCCTCTCTTGCTGCTCCGGGGCCCTTCGGCGCCAACGCAGCCTCCCCTCCCCTGCAGCCTCCCAGCTCCTCCGTGGGTGACCTCGGGCTCAGCCCTGGCAGCCGGCGCTCCCTTCCCAGCACAATGCAGCAATCGTGTGGCCCATTGTCCACAGTCTCCTCTGGCAGCGGGTGGTCAGGTCCGGCACAGAGAAAGCTGCAGCTGGTGGAGACAAGCTCTCGGCATGGCTGGGGCAGACTCGGCTCTCAGCTCTGCTGCCAGAGGATGGGCTGGAAAAGGCACCCTCGTTAACCAGCCCGTGACACTGCCAGCACAGGGAGCTGGGCATGTGGGCGGTGACTCATGCATCGTTTAAATCTCTGATTAAGGGCTCTGATTAGTGATGACTAGCTGGGGGTTAGGTCCCTGAGGTTGCCCACCTGCCTGCAGGACAAGAGCAGTGTTAGCAGCAGCCCTGCTCCCACCAGTGCTGTGCTGCTCCCACACACACAGAGGCCGAGCCCACGCGAGACCAAGACACCCTTGGGCTGTGACGGAACTTGGGGGGACGAGGAGCTACAGCAGGACGGGAGGCAGCACATAGGGCCCTTGTGCAAGCTGCGTTACAGCTCGCCGAGCTGTTTCCCCAGCCAAGAAAGCTTTCCTAAACGCTTTAGTTGGCTTAGCAAGCCAGTAAGATGTCCCCAGCAGCCCTCACACATCATGTTTCAGGCCCACGTGTCCCCGAGGGGCTGGGCTGGGCTGTGGCGTGCTGAGCTGCCGGGAGGCGACACTGCAGCCTTGGCTGCGCCTGCCCGAGGACCCCTGCGCCTGCATCCCTCCGGCAGCATCCTGGGCCGGCACTGGCTGCCCAGGGAGGGAAGGGCAGGAGAACAGCAGATCCCCAGTGCTGCCGCCACCTGGAGCCCCCCTCGCTTTGGGTCTGTGTTGCCCCCTCCCCCTTGGTGGGGCCAGGCTGGCAGCGGCCAGGAGGGGCTCAGCACCCGTATTTCACCCCGGAGCCAAGCGCTGGCAGGTGGAGGAGGAACTGGCCAGGCCCACGGGCTGCCATTATCAGCCTCTCCTCTTCGCCTTCCTGTGTGCTGTCCATCCGACCCCTGATCCACCAGGCTCCAAAGGACCTGCTCAGATCAAAGCGGCTGCTTTCTGGAGAGCAAACATCCTTTTCCCATTTGTCTCCAGACAAAGTGGGGAACCGGACCCTTAGGGAGGCTGGGGGCTCCTGGGCACACGTTTGGGTGCCGACAGCCTCAGGGAGCCCCGAGCATCGTGG